CATATGCATTTTTAATGGTTATGTATACACGAAAAGGACGATCAAGTATATTAAACCATACAATGTTGTAGATAGACATAAGGGACTAGGAAACTAGGTAAGTGTATGGACGCAAACACGATATACCTGTTTACGTATTTATGAACAGACCAGATTCTCTTGATTGTGAAAAGATTGTTTTTGTTTCAGCAAAATTAATATAGAACTGATACAACTAATATATAGAAGGTTCAATACCTCACTACCCGATCAAGAATGAATTCGCTTCAATATGACTATATTGAAATATTTCTATATAAAATATATTGTAGAGAAGTATCAAAGCTGAAAGCAATGCGCTGTGTGACATATATATATATGCTCTTGTCATCTGTTAAGGGTATTTCGGTCAGTTAATATAGTTGTAGGGATACAATGCTACCTAACCAGAGGCGAGATTACTGTTTTATCTCGGTACAATAGCGTATATATAGACCAATCATCTAAAGAAATTAAATAAAAACATTATTCAGGGGACTGTTTTTATTGAGTATTGAAGCATCTCTAGCGACGATACTACGTGAAATCCATAGCGCTAGTTACAAGCTTATATTACAACTTACGAGTGCGCCTTTAGCTACCACGTAACAAGATATATTGAAGGATCTTTTATTACAACTTAAGGGTGCGCCTTTAGCTACCCAGTTACTAGCAATATTGAAGGACATTTTATTACAATTTAAGAATACGCCTTTAGCTACCCAGTTACAAGAGATATTAAAGGACCTTATATTACAACTTAAGAATATGCATTTAGTTACCAAGTCAACATCAATATTGACGGAGACTATATTACAATTTAAGAGTACGCCTTTAGCTACCCAGTTTCTAGCAATATTGAAGGACAATAAAAGAGTACGCCTTTAGCTTAAATGTTGCTGTTGGTCGATAGATGTAGTAAGTCAAGGCAAGCTAGCCGAGGTTTCTTACCGGAAATGTTTTGGTCTATGCTGAAGAAATGTATTGTCCGATCCCTTGCTATTATATTACTGCAGTGTCTGCTATAATGATTAATTTTGTCTTATACAGTTGTGGGGAATATACTAGCAGGAGCCACGTGTAGTGGAGAAAGCTATTTCATTTCCGCCGGATATATTTAATCTATACGATAGTTTTTCTTTCTTTTTTTTTTTTATCTCTTATCAGCTCTTGGCTCTGTCTTTCCATATAAATAATCGCAAACTACATAAATATTAAACGGTATATAAATGTCTATCTCAAATGTCAAAAAACACCTTTATATAAAATCAACAGTGCAATAAATATGTGAGTTGTTCTGAAAGCTTTGGTGGTACATATACTCTAATGTATAACCTTGCTAGAAGAAAACCTTCGAGACTTGTATTTCACCGTGTTCTCTGAGCTACTGGAATACTCTATCACTACTTTTGAATCGCGAGACATCAGAGTTAAAATTTTAGCAATCCCTGTATTCTCCCTGATTCCATCCCAGGCATTGATGTACACTTTAATTTGATTCTATGCTACCTGCGTGACATGATGTCATTCCAGGCTTGTAATCACAGAAGCCGGAATCTTACAACCCTCTCAGATCCGTAAATACACATCTCCTCATTCTGAAATAAATTACAGATCAATATCGTATTAATTTGTTTCTATTTCCGATATATATTTCCAATAATTTTTATCACGAACCTAAATCATTGATTACTTACACTGATGATTTAGGGAGACATGATTTATGTCTTTGTAATATAGCATCAATCACGGAGGAAATAAGATTGCACGTGAGAGAAATGTAATCGTGCGTGAAGAAAATTTGATAGCGTGAGAATACTATGATGTTTTATTATAAGGCCATTTGATCAACACAATAAATCAGATATGCTGTTAATGAGATCGTGTATAATAATATCGTAAAATTCACACATTCCTCTTCCATCTGTGATTATCTTTCAATGGTGTGCGTTCTTTTGCTTCTCTAATTAATTAGAATCATTGAGCAGCTAGTTTTGCGTGTGATGGTTTAGTGGGGCCGTTCGACATTTTCAGTGTTTTTGGTTTAGAACAATGAAACAGCACTTTGTCGCCACGGCAGTTTCCAGTGCTTTTTGCTGCTTAGTCCAATAAAACAACGTTCCCTTTTCGTTTACCTCCAAGTTTTTGCTTTTGTTGTTTAGTTTTTCTCACCAACATCATTTCAGCTATAACAGTTATGCTTAGACTATTCTGATATCAGGACCATTCACCTACCTCAAAATACACAAACCTCAGAACTGTAAATAGTTTTAGTCATTTGCACGATATCTTTTAGTTGAGACAAAACAGTATTTAAGAATAAAACACTGCGCGTTTTTCGCATCGGTGACGAAAAAATATTTTGTAATATTTCTGTGAAGATATCACGAAGCTGGCTCCAACAAATGGATACCGTCATTATACGACTTCTGTATAATGCGACCAAGAGGTAAATTATGAAACAAAAATAGAAACAGTTTTAGCAAAGCAACGATCCGTATGGCTATATATCAAAATGAAATATGGCAGGTGTGTATCGCTGTTGGTATACATTGCCGGTGTCTGGGGTATGTGTATAGCACCTGTGGACGGATGGACCAATACATCACTAGCCAGTACACGTGAAAGTGGGTAATAAAGGAGAAAGGTCGGTAATTAGCTCGTCTTTTCTTACTAATCAATTACCGTTAATTTAAAACAGCCGTCCAGACAAAACACCTAATAGTGAGAGGTGTATTTAATAATTCATCAGTATTTAGATTAACGATGCGCTAAAGTACAGACATATAACCTACAGCGGTGTAGATTTAGGAATTAGTGCCACACAAGACACGTACATAGCTGATTAGGACATGCAGTACTAAACCGCATATTTATGTGACACACTTTTTGTGTCAGTTGATATATCCCTGTAGGATTGACTGTAAGGGCTTACAAGCCATGCAGGATATTACGTACAGACATATGTAATGTTCCAAAATCAGCACTCCACAGAAATGTGTAACTATGGTTTAAAAAGTGATTCTGGGACTATGTGTACCCAGCTATCGATGCAGGATGACCTGTGACTTATGTATGCGTGGTGTATATTTGATGGTGCCAATGGCTACTCTCTGTAAATCTATAGATTGTGTATCCGTTATTTAGTGTTAAATATACATGGATCGTAGTTAAAAGTGTTAACCAGAATACCTGGTTATGTAAGGGATCGGCAAACTTATAATGTCTGAACCAATCTTGAGTTTCGTTATGGAGCTGGCGTGCTTCCATCAACCGATTGGATTGTTCAATGCGGAGATAACTTGAACTATTATGGACAGGAATGCATTTTTTTCTCTAGTATTTCGTTTTCTATATACTGGAATTATATGTTTTATTTTAGAAACCCGTTTCTTATGACGTGAACTATATTACTGTTTTTCGTATTACTCGTTTATGTGTTGAACTGTTGTACCAGAGGCCCCGACTCGGGGCGTATTATACTATCAAATAAGGTGGGCCTGAAACAGTGCTCTATACTATAGAGAAGTAACACTGCTTTATACCATGGACTTGAGCTAGATCTTTCTAACATGGACTGTTTTTTATGGTTTTCGACAACTAACCGTGTAAAGTTGCTTTTATTATCTGGACTAGCTTAACCGATGTTACAGTATTGAGTATGATGACGTTGTCTAACAAGGTGAACTAGTGTGTCACACTTTTATAAGCTGGAGCTTTACTAAGTTTCTTACCAGGACTATAGTAGTAAAGCTGTTGAAAGCTGAACAAATTTTCAGTATGGAATTTGAAAGTAACTATGGAATCAACAACAGAAGAATTGGATCAAAATCACACGCGTCCGTACGTATATATTGGGAAGTATTTGCTGAGTTGCATTTTATTCGTGCATGTTATAGCAGTTCTCTTGGTATTGACTATAATATCTGTCCATATGTTAAACTTAAAACAATATAATATTCAGTCGAGCTACGATACTGTACACTCATTGTCTTTTTGTGTTCGCTGTTTTATGTTTATCATCATAATATGTTAGAAACCGTTGTTTTTCCAATTTTAAAAACAATGTTGTGTTGCTTCATTGTTGGTTTATATGAAGCACACCATTTCATGATTACTGAGTCAATGTTTCCAAGATTGTCATACTCCTAAATTGTCTGAACAGAGTAGCGCATACTCTCTATATATCTTTATATTAAACTACATACATGTAAATGTATTTGATATTGGAATACGTATTTCAGCTAGGACCTTCAAAAACACGCATATGTTTTTATCATTTTTACTGAAGAATTAATTTTCACGTACCGTTTGTCTGTCTGTGAGTTTGCGCACCACTTACAACAGTATCACTTTGCATGAACGTGCCATAATTGGGATGTTTGAATATAATACGAAATTGTACTTGAAATAATCCATGAAATAATGCTTTCGGTAGGGTATTTCAGTGAGATAGCACTCTAATGCTGGCATCTGATCCGCGCTGTCACAGGGAGGCAAACACACAAACATACCGCATACATTACACACACGGATGCACGTCTTTAATTACCTTAGCTGTTAATAGGACATTAAAGAAAATAAAACCAAACCAAACTTCATGAAATAAGAATAATACATAAAAACCTCTGAACCAACCGACATGCATAAAATATATACATCATCTTTTGTAGAAGAGCATTGCGACCGTTATCATATCTGTATATCTTTAGAAGATATTTTAATGGTGGCTGGTATGAGCCCGATTTGTGTGCTCACAGTTGTTATATATAACTGTGTCCTTAATATGAACTTTGATGTGTTCGCCAGGTTTGTAAAGACTGCACGAGAACAATCTTCTTGGAAAAATGACAAATGTGGGTCCGTGTTCAATGAGAACCACTGCCTCTACATACTAAAGATCGTGCATAAAAGCTGTTAATTATCATTGATCAGAGATAGAGTATCAAAAGGGAAACCATTATTACTCATTGCTTTTGTAGATGGACAGTATCCAGCGACATATTCTACAGAACCACTGCTTGTATCAGAAAAGTTGGGTAGAAGAACCTAAAGCCAATACTTATGCAAACACTCCTCAGAAATCGAGAAAGACACCTAGGACATCCAAAAGTCAGATCCATGGATCCAACGCTAGCCTGGATATACTCCGGAAATATGACGCGAGAATACCAACCTCACGTGCGTCCATGGAATCCTTCTACAATGGGCCGGACCTAGACGATGACACACTCAAAAGCCGCAACAACAAGCGCCTTAACCATCTAATAAGGGTAAAATATTTGTTGTAATACTGAACACATTCTACACAGTGTGCAAGCATTTTGGCTAATTTATCTTTTCAACAAATGTTAATCATATTTAATTCAATTTTGTCGGTGTAGTGTGATGTGTTTTAAATGGCATCTTATGTTTTAATTGATCTAGATCAGATAAACTCTATGTTACGGATAAAACTTAATTCCAATGCTTTGTTGCCGTGTGCAATGCCAAAACGCAACTAATGTGTAAACAGTTGTTGACAACGCTTTTTATTACACGTTTTTTGTACACAGTCTGAGGCGCCGGACTCGTCTTCGAATGCTTTGATCAGTTCGTCAGTAAATTTTGACCGGAAGTCCACTCGACCCCAAAGTCTGCCCACCTTCTTCCAAGACAGTGAGAAAGACGTGTTATCAAGTTATCAGCAACTTGAGAGCAGACGTCAACAGCGCGTCAATAGACGCAAACCTTGGACAGAGTCCAGCCTAGCCGGGTCGCACACCAAAGACTACGACTCAGGTAACTCATTAAAGATTTGCTCCCGTTGGTTTTCGGCAATAGTTCACTACTGTAAACTTACTGATTTTAGAGCAATCATATTAGAGCACATGTTTGAATTTAAACAGATTAGTGCATTGATGAATGAGTGCATCAACAATTTATGCAAAGAAACCCCATTTTTCAGAAACTTGAATTATTGCAATCATAATCTAGCGCAAGAATTAAGTAAGAAAAGCGGTAGTCCAGTGGTAGGACCTCGGGCTCGTGACCGAATGGTTGCGGGTTCGAGTCACGGCACGGCACTGTGTTTGAGCAAGATATTTTACTCCGCTTGTTCCATTCTATACAGCTGTAAATGAGTACGTGGTTGGGCAGTGCTAGAATTGTTGAATGTTAGCTGTTAGCGCCGAAATGGCAGCTCCGGCTGTATGCTCCCAAGGGAGTTGAGAAAGGTATTGGCTGGTTGCAAAGGCCCTATAACCACAGATTATAATTTGTGGATCACTTTAAGACGACCTACGAACTAGTTTGTGATAAAGCGGTATATAAGAACCTCGAATTATTATTCTTATTATTAAAATAGTATTACCATTAAAATTAAGTACGTTTACAGCAGCTATAAAGCAGTATTTATATACTTTCGTAGAAGCTGTTACCTTTCCAAACGACAACCAATCAAATCAAACTCAATCGATCTGTGCAAGAATAATAATGATAAAGCTACACTTTAACGCATGGGCATGTGTTTCCTTCGCACGTAGATATCGCAAAGGTTACATTTAGTCTACCAACTTTCACCTGCCACGCGCTATTTACGCGATTCAATCGATTAACTAAAAGATAACGTATGATATTTACGACTAAATAAACTATGCATGTCTGTACATGCTTACATTGAAGCGGGTGAAGACTTAATGAGTCAAAATCATACTGTTCGTATGCCAATTAGCCATGTTTTATTCATAACAATTAGAAGGGCAATTTTCGAAAAAAACGAGACCACCAAAGGCACCAAACGTTAGAACATATATATTAACAATGTAAAAGAATTGATTTACCAATCAAATTTGATTCTTTGGTTTTCCTTTTCCTTTTTCAATAATTTGTATTTGTTGTCATAAATACAGGTTTACATTCTAAAATCAAGTGTGGTGGTTTTACACGATGTAGTATATAATTGCATTGCTGTTGGGCTGTGGAATATGACACCAGGTTATCGGTCGCTGATATACAGGCAGTCTCGGACAAATGTTAATTATGTAATGGTAACCTGTGTTTCTACGACGCTAACCGAATAATGGAAATATGTTGTGTCGCTCACTATACTGTTATTTTATTAATTTCTAATATCGGTCGATATGTCTATCTGTGTTAATATCAGCACGATTCAGATAGACTGTTTAAAATATGGATGGGATGCATGTTGTGGTGTTATTCATTGCAGAGCACCTGCTGTTTACGTTTGAGATTTGTATATTATGACAATGTCCCAATATTGTTCAGGTTACATGTACGACTTCATGAAGGTTACGACTTCATGCCTCATTAACTTTTATGGTAGGACTATATGCATGTATATCGCACCAAGCTCAAGGTAATTGAAATAGGAGTTGGATGATAAATAATTTCATAGTATTGGAAAATATTCCACTTTCAATCGATCAGATCCAAAAACAATACACCTATATTGCGGCATAAATTTCTAGTGAATGTTTATCGCTGTGAAAATATTTTTGCACAATACATTATAACAGGAAATGATGGCTTCTGGATCCCATGTACATACCCAACTACCAGTGGAATAGTACACAAATAATCAAGTCAATACAGAAGGATCAATAGATTTTTAATGTAAAGTAATGTAGGAGTGGCTTTATTTGTCATCATCGAATAATCGGTTAACATATTGTGTTTCAAACATAAAACTGGGAATTATTACAGAAGTTTATTGTACTACAAACATAAAACTGGGAATTATTACAGAAGTTTATTGTACTACAAACATTTAGCTGTTAGTTACTATAGGCATCTGCTGTATTACAAACATGATAATCAAGGTAATACCTAAGCGGCAACGAAACCCTGATTCAAATTCAAAATCGATGAAACTAGGGCAAATATGACCAAGGGGAAGATTTGCATAGAGATTTTGGAAAACGTTGAAGGAGAACAAGACCAAGTGTTCCATAAGTATAAACGGGTCTTCTGCTTCATTGACGACACCCGCCAAATAAATAATGTCAAATCGAAGTAATGTCACGTCCTTATATTTAGAAGTCTTGTAGTGACAACAAAACCACAAGGCCCACTAAGTACATTATCAAAAACATCGGCCTTCATATTACACAAAGAAATAGCATATTCCCAAATTGAGAATTAACATCAAATCTTATTATTCAATTATAATTAAAAAGCGACAAAAATGAAAACTGCAAATTAAGATTGGTTGTACATTTAAATAAATGTATGTAAAACATAGAAGTTAAAGACAATGCGCAAATACGTATTAAAATTGTCGCAGATTTTCAGGCTAAGCTCCGTAACATTATCCAACCAATAGGAGACTAATGAGTCTGTTCTGTGGTAACGCCAGGATATATTCGGGTTATAATTAAGCCTATTTAACGCACCTGGTAATGTATTGCCTGTAAAGGCATTGATGCATTTTCTACAATGGAAACGTACCTATTTAATCGGCAAAGTAGAACATATTTAACGCAAAATCGACGCCGTCACACTCGTAAAGGCCAAAGTAATGGTTGGCAGTCTAAGATGTTGGTTGTCACCCGCCACTAATATTATAATGGTCGTCATTCAAAGCTCTGGCTGTTATCCGCCACTTCTACTATAATGGTCGTCATTCCAAGCCCTGTCTGTGACTCGCCACTAATATTACTTACTTACATCTGTTCCACCTTTTCCCGCCATATTTTACACACTCCACTTGTTGGACGGGTACTAGGGAAGGGTTGGAATGACAATCATTCCTTCGGCCTTTATCGGTTAGTTCATGCTTGCATTTGTATTATCGGTGCTTTAAAATATTTGCACACGAATACAATAAATAAAACCCACAGAAGCTAAATAATTGATAAGACTGGTGTCACTGAATGGACTTAAAACTATCCACAGTATGATAATGTAGCCTGAAATACTTATAAAAATTGGATCTTTTTACCGTATCGACTGTATCTGGGATAATATGTCACGTATCATAAATAAGATGGAGGGACAACCAATGTTTGATATATTAATAACGTCTCTAACGAAGCAGATGAAACGAAAACAAGATGCTGGAATACAAGACAACGATGTGTGTGATAAACCTGTTAGGAAGTCTAATCCAGGTAGGTTTGCCATGAAAGGCTTTCTTATTATTTAAGACCAGGCAGAAAATTGGTTCATAATTTCTCTCACCCTTGTTAAGTCAATTAGACCCCTTAAAATCTCAATTGATCTGAAGTTGTACGTGTGTATTTTAATTACATTTTACTCTATCAATACATTATTTGTCTATATATGTTTTCATTGTCCCTCGTATATAAGTGTTTGCTTTCACTAGATGTTTTAGTGTATCGCGATGTAGACTGTACTATGCTTCATTCGTAGTACTGTCTTTAAAAAGGAGAATTACTTTGTTCAGTGTCCTAGAATGGACACAGTATAGTAACGACGGATTGGTAATATCTTAATCCTTCATATCATTATACACGAGTGTATATGATACATTATGTTTCAAACAGAATTTCTGAAGGAAAACAAGTTTTGGCTCGTTCCTTATCCGGGCCTTGAACCCACAATCCCTGGCATCAAATTGCACAGCTTTGAATACCCGCTCTCAGAACGTTGAATCATCGCGACGTGTAATAAGAAGTTTAGAAGGAACATTAAATATATTCTCAAACATGCATCAAGTCAAAGGTTGAGTCAGAATCTATTTAGCCATTCAGTTCGAATGTATCTCCTACAAAATGGAATAGTTTGATCAAGTATGAGCATCTTCTCCTAGAGAGAAATGTATTGAGCTTACTAAACTTGAAATAAAGATCACTGCAGACTCTTCTACATCAGCTGCGATTCTCGATGTTTACTTACAAAATGACAAAGAAGGACGGCTTACATCTAAACCGTAAGATAAGCGTGACAATTTCCCATTTTTCCTATCATGAACTTTCTCGGTGCCTCTTTATGAATAATGAGTTCATAATGGTCATCACCTACAATACTACGAGGTGTTCGGTTTGGTGTATTCAGCTAGCACACACTTTGTGTCAGGCATATAAGTTTCGTTTCAGATTTTTAGGAAATATAGAGAATTCGAATCTTCCAGCTTTTTCCCATGTTATTCGTCTTTTGTCGGCTAAGCCTAGTTTATTACCTTTTGTTTGGGAAAGTTATATCCTTTGCTTCAGCCAACATCCTCCCAGCAGCAATGTTCTTATTTGGAGAGTCACTAGCGAGAGGAGGGTTAGACACATTCCACATAGAAAGTGCCTTGAAGGCAATTATGTATAACTCTCTTCTAATCTGTATATGTTTCTCTTATTTCCCTATCAACGAGGCATGTTGCTACGAAATAAAAGCTCAATGGTGACAGGCTGTTACACAGCAAAACGTTCTTTTCTACCTCTGTTGAGCAATGTGTCCCCTAAGGACCTTACCACCTGACACTGACCTCTTGTCCTAAGGACCTTACCACCTGACACTGACCGCTTGTCCTAAGGACCTTACCACCTGACACTGACCATTTTGTCCTAAGGACCTAAACAACTGACACTGACTTCTTGTCCTAAGGGCCTTACCACCTGCCACTGACCTCTTGGACGATACACACTACAGTATGTAATCAGTCAATCCACTTTAGTACAATTGCTATCCAACAGGATTCTTCAGGTATTATTTCTAAAACAAAAATATTTTTATTCTGGAATGCAAACATCGTAGAGAGAATATATACTATAGCATTGCACTGTAGTAAGAGAACGTTAATACTTTTACTTTTACATTCCTAAGAATGT